AAGCTTCTGGCAGCTTCTCACAGAAGCCATCTCTTTAGCCCCCCCCGCTCCCAAAAGCTTGCCACGCAAACCCAACACATGTCTATAAAGCAATTCCTAAGACATAAATAAGAAATAATCTCTATTAATCTTGTTCTGCTTTTGTGGGAAGTGATTATTGTGAAAAACAACTGTAAGTTAGTTTCCCATCTCTAAAATAACCCTTACCCACTGGAAATCCTAATTCATTGCAGAACTGAGCAGGTCCATTAGTTTAATATAATTGTCATAGTGTTGGGATGGCTCAAGAAGTGGACATTTGGTTAGTATGATAAACTTCAGCTTGATGGAAGAAAAGGAGTCAGTTCAGATTGCCTCTCTGTTTGACAGAGTTCATTGTGTAGATATAATTTTTGACAGATTTTCCAGAATCCTGTGCAAGAAGTAATCTTTCTTATGCAATTATATGTTTGGAACTTGTCAGATTAAGTTCATTCTTCATTGCATTTTCTTGACAAAACTGAATGTAGATCTGATACCCTGTGGTACTGCATAGTATATAATGAAGGCAAGGGATTAATGAGTATTTTACAGACCCATAAATAAAACATTATTATAAAGAATCATTCACAAGATCTTTAGGTTTTCTACCTCTGGTTAGAAAAAATACTCACATCACAGTCTAAACTGAAGTTAATACAATAGGTAAAGAAGCCGTCTGTCTGTAGTGATGTTTTTCTGATTCTTGTTGCAGTCAGTCATAACCTTAGTAACGTGTATTAGTTTACATTACCGGTGAATTGGAATGCAAGTCCTCAAGGTAATCCTGTTTTCATTCACTGAAGAAGTCTTGAAGCTGTTTGAAGGCATCTTATAGCTCGATACATTGGGTAGTATTTCTTTCATACCCAAAACTTTATGTGTGTTTACGATATCAATGTGTTGTTTAGATACTTTCCCGTTCTTTCATTGATCTTCACATGTACTCGCAGTATATTTTCAAATTTTTTGGTTCTTGCCTTACGTTCTTTGCTGCATGTTACTTAAAGGATAAACTTTGTACGGTATTTCAACTAGATGAGTTTGGGGTTTTTTCTTTTCTTGTTTGCACCCCCTCCCCGCACCCCGTGTTGTTTTGTTATCAGTTATCTATCTCTGAAAATAGTTCAGACCATCCATGTGTTTCTTGCTGTGGGTAGGGACTGATCCTGTCGCAGGAGGTGATTTCAGTCCAGACTGCATCAGTACCTGTAGGTCTTGTTAAAAGTCATGAAATCTGGCTTAGATTTCTAGTTGTAAGATAAAAGTTTTCCTGAAATCACTTCAGTTCTAATTTGTCATTGATCATGCCTTCCTCTAGCAGACCTCGTTTTCACCCTTTAGCTACAGTGCAGAGTGGTCAGGATTGTTTTGCATATACTTGTGGTCCCTAGAAGATCTTGTCCAACTTGCATGTTCTTAACTGCTGTCATAGCATATGGCACAGCATCAGTGCTGCAAGACAAGACAAAAGGTAAAGGTGGTTGAGCAATAAATGAAATCTTACTTCTTGAGCCAGAGGTTATGATGTTGGTGCAATACAAGGCTATGGTCAGGAAAGAAAGTGAGGGGGTCCACTTCAGTTGCAAGAGCTGTAGACCCTATGTTATTGTTGAGCCTTACCCAAGATGCTGAGCTTCGCCCTTCTGGATGTAAGGTGAGTTTAATAGTGCAAATTATTATTACAACAACTGTGTGGATTGCACCAGATTTCTCATCACTGAAAATCATAATCTAAAAATTTATTTCTTCTCTAAAGGATAGGGAACCCCAGTGTTTGTAAATTCAATTAAAAGTGGAGGAAAATAGTAGCTTCATCTATAGGTATTACAGCATGATTTTTGTGATAGATTGAGAAAAGAAATGGTGAAGTAGGTGTTTGCATTGTCTTGTAGCTTTGAAAATTTTCTAGAATTGCTTCATGTGTTTATGCCTTTGAGCAAATAATTCTGTTGAGGACTTTTCATGCTTTATTTTTTGCCTTTTGTTTTTTTTATCTTTTATGAAACAAGGTATGTATTTTAAATCATGTATTTTTAAATTCTTTGTTATTTTTCTCTGCAGTATTGTACTCTTGCTGAGCCAAAAGCAAGCGCTGGAAGAACTTAAGCAAACAGTTCAGCAGTTAAGGTGCTCTGAGGCAAAATTTGCAGCCCAGAAAGAACTACTGGAACAAAAGGTTCAAGAAAATGATGGAAAAGAGCCACCACCTGTAGTGAATTATGAAGAAGATGCTAGATCAGTAACTTCTATGGTAAGTTTTACATCTGTTTTGCTGAATTGTGCAGCCTTGCTATTGTACTTTAGTCCTGGGATCAGTCTCAAGATACTCGCAGGGATGACTGAAGTGAATAAACTTCACTTTGCATTTGTGGAGACTTGTTTAGAAAAACAGTTCAGTTGTGTGATTCTTTTGAAGTTAAAAGAACTTGTAACACCCTCTGTATGTCTGCAGACCTGGTTTGGTCTTCTGTACACTTGATACTTAGATTCTTAGATTGTTTTATATTCAAAAGTGTAAGTCCTTACATAGATTTAGCAAACATGACTGAGTATCTATTGGTGTTTTCATTGGCTGTGTTGAAGAAATACATTCACGGTTGTAGATAGAAAACTAACACTAAAAGCTGTTGGAATCACTGCATGCACTGTGTAATTGAGAAATGCATTTCATGTCCTGTAACTGAGAAATGAATTTCATGTACTGTAATTACTTTTTTCTTTAAACAGAAGCAAACACTTGTTTCTTTGCACCTTATTTTTAATTGTTTGCATGCTCTTAATAATCAAAAGGAAACTTTGGTGCTATTGATGAGACCCCATATATTTCAAATGAGTACTTTGCTAATATTTTGTGTGACTTCCTTTTCTTAATTGTATGCAGCTATGTGTAGAGATAGTAGGCCACATAAAAAAGCAAACAAACAGTACCTGTTTACTAAAGGGACAAGCAGTAGTGTTTACTTTTATGGATTAGGTTTGACATATATGAGATGCATGTGACTTGTTTTCTTTAGAGGTTTAGCCTGCCATTTCTTTTGGCCCATAGAGCGGTAGCTTAGTGAAATGATAATGAAATGGTTATATCTCAGAAAAATGCTTTTGTTTTTCTATTTGTGGTTTGGTTTTTTTTCCATTCCCATTCTACAGTTATAGTTAATTGTCAGTATGGTCTTGCTTCCACTACTACTGTTTAATATTTACAAGGCACTGGCACGTGTTTGCCATTTTCACTGGCACAAAACATTATTTTACAAAGCTTGTATGCTTGTCATGATCTAGGAGGAATTGATAAAGCACAAAAAGATGAAGGAGAAAGGAAGAATCATGATAATGATTGTGAAAGATTAGGAGGCTTAGAATCTTTTTGTCATAGGCTATCTTGTTAGTTATTTCATGTAATACCCTGTAGTAGTGCTAGTGAATATTGTCTGTAAGGTTTAGTTGAGTTGTTGAGTCTAATCAAGAGAATGGTATTCTTCCACCTCAGTTCGAGATTACTAAAGTCTGTCTTCTGGTGTCCAAATCTCTGTTTCAATAGGTAGAAGAAAATAATCCTTGCATATATGTACAATACACAGTGAAGAATTCTGACCTCTTTTAATTTTTTTTGAATGAAAGTTATCTATGATAATTTATCTTTCTTTTACTGGAAGAGGTATGTGCTGATATTTCTAGAATGGTGCAAGAAATACATTTTTGCATATATTAAACGTCCTGAGGTTACGGAAAAAGTCGCTGTTGTGACTTCAGAGAATTTAATCTCTTAATTTGTATGCACCATGAAAAATATGGAATATGACTTAACTGCTGGGTGATTTCCCTTGAGTGATTTATTTAAGACAGGCAAATACCACTTAAGTTTTGTTTAACTGTTGATACCCTGTGCTAGTAAAATCAACTAAAAAGTGGTAGATAAAACTGCAGTCTAATTTAAACTTTTTTCAAACTGGTGTACCTTGAGAGGGCAGTCTGGACTGTATCTCAAGATGAAAAAATAGTACACTGATGGGCTGTTTGTATAAATAAGCACCCTGGTGATTTTTCTAATGGGATTTTTTTTTAGTAAAACTCCTTAAATCATACAGGTGCTAAATGATCAGAAGTGAAATGTTCTTGCTGCTGATTGCTCATCCTGGTGTCATTCAGGAGGATCATTGTTTCTTCAGCTATAAATCTGTTTCGGTTTCTCCTCTTTATCTAAAAGCAGTTCATCTAAATGTTGTCCGATACTACATTTCAAAGTGGTTATTTATTCCTTGTCAGAAATTCATTGTAAACACTTCTTTTTACAAATTCTTTTCCTAAGAATGACAAAATCATAATTGACTTGTGTCAATTTTTGATCATTCCTGAATATTGCATTTAAAAAATTTGGCATCGTATGTGGAAAAAATAAAACATATTGTCTTTATCCCTTTCTACTGAGATAACCATGCAAGACAGAGATAATTTTAATGGTGAAGGTGCTATGAGTTTAAAATAATGTCTTTGAGCCCTTAGAGTTATGCAGTTATGATACTATGCACTATGTAATTGGGAGAATCATAGCTAACTTTTTCTTCTACATTCGTATTAAAGCAAGGAGATAGATACTAAGAAAAAGCTGGTTATTCCTTGTAAACAGGTTGGGTTTTTTTCAAAATGTTATATTTTTTCCAAATTGTTATATATTATGCCATTTTAGAAAAAATAACCAGTAACTTGAAGCTTGAACTCATTTTTAAATGTTTAGATGTTCAGTCAATGCATGTATGGACTGTCATTTGTCCTAAGATACATATGCTGTTCTTGCTATTAATATGATCAACAGAGCACGGCAGTAGTCCACCATTATTAAAACAAAGAAAACAACAATAACAAAACTTTTATATATCTAATGATCTGATTAGAAATAAAAGATCAGGAATATTTGGAATATTGCAGTGCCAGTTAACTATTTACTTAGATGATTAAGTACAATGATGGTAGTTCGCGTTTCATATTAAGACTTTAAAATTACAGCATCAGTATTGACTTGGAAATTGTTACAGAATAGGAAATCTTCAGGGAGTGCTTAAGCCTGGCGATACATTTAGTTAATATAAAATAGTAATTAATTTTGTTTGGCAATAATACAATGAAATCTGTATGCCACTTTAATGTATCTTCTCCTTTTTCCTTACATGGTAAAACCAAATATTATAAAGGTGCAAACTTATTAGTTTTAAGAATACATATTTAAAACTCACTGGTTTTCTCACTGTAGAAATGTTTCCTGTAGATTTATTTTGCATATTGCAGCATTATACTGGAACTACTGTTAAAGCTGAGACTTGGTGTGCAGACTCTGCAATACTTGAAAGACTTGTCAGCAGGTGGAGCTCAGTGCCAGAAGATTAGTTATGACTGAATAATCAAAATTTTTCATCACTACATATGTTTAAAAAAACACATATGAGACACAGAAATGTGGAGAAAAATTGTGTGTTCTCATCTATCTAACATCTAAAAAATCTGAAATACTGGTTTTTCTTTGTTTTGCTTTGATTTTTTTGAGGTTTTTTTACAAATAATAAAATACAACTGTAATGTAGAAAGACCCTAATGCATAGTCTTCAACAGCATGTAAGCCAACTAAGAGAGCTGTGCAGCTATACTGCCCATGGAGCAACAGTACAAAGTCACTGTTCTTTCTCCATATGCTCCTGCTGCACTTCCAGTACAGCTTGGTTGTCAGGATGGAAGGCTCCAGAGTGCAGATGAGTCAGGAAGGAGACTGTAGTGTCTCTGATAACATGAACTCATGAAAGGTACACAGGGCAGAAAGAAGCTGAACCATCACGGTATCATGATACAGCCAGTGGGATATAGCTTACTCCAGGAGAGTGCTCAGCTTAAAACTGTACACAGTGGGGCAACAGAAAATAGGTACTAGAGAGTTTACATTTTTGAAATCCGGTTTTCTCTGTTGTAGCAGAATAATCCCAAAGGAAAAAAACATAAAAGTTCACTGCATATCTAATTGGCTTAACTATTTATCGTTCCTTTTTAAAAGCTTCAGAGATTCTATTCTTAGTGAGTGCTTTACAAGTAAGATCAGCCAGCTTTTGATGAAGATTGTGGCAAATAAAAAAAGTTCTCAGGGGTTATGGAAGAAAAAATATTAAATGCATGAAACTGTGCCAAAGTGCTAGTTGCATTATTTGTAAATTATTCTAAAAGTACCTTTTTAGTTACATAATGTGAATGCTTTGTATTTCCATCCCTGCTTTCTAGAATCTGTGACTCAGTGCTCCTTCTAACAGTGTGATCAACAAACTAATAGTCTTAGAGTCATGCTCTGCAAGTTTGGGTTTGAGGCAAATGTTTCAGAATTTTCAATAAATAACTGACAAATTTAATAAATTTGTGTGTTTAAAATTTTTTAAAGTCAGTTGCATAGATGTGAAAGAGCGTTTACAGGATTTGGTTATGTGATTAAAGATACTTCATTAAATGCATTTTATATCATGTATCATAAGGCCCTGAAACAGAATCCGCTGAGAGATGTACCCACACTCTAGTGGGTCTCCTTTTCCCATACTGTCTCAGGTTATATAGGATCTTTATTTTCAGAGAGATGCAGGGAAACTGTTAGGTTCTGTGACAGCCATTGCAGCAGTAGCAGAAAGCTTGATGTTAGAGATAAAATTATTTTTTTCTTAATGACTCAGAAGAATTGAGGTATTCCTGTGCTTTATAATGCATTGCCAAATAGTTCCCTTGTTTATCTGTCCATGTAAGTAATTATCTACTAATTTGTGACTCTTGACATTTCTATAAAACTAAGATTATATGAGGGCATGTATTAGGAAGTGGTAGATTTGAAGTTTCTTATCAATAGAAACAGGGCCAACTGTGCAGTGTTGGTATCCTTATCCTTGCTCTTATTTTTGTCTCAGCAGAGGAAATGCTGCCAGTGCAGTCATGTTGTAGAAATTGTGCCTATTAATTCATAAAAGACTTGGAAATAAACAGTTGTATTTATTGGATGCCTGAACAGCTGAAGTTCAACTAAGTGATCTTTGCTTTGGGCCACTTTCCAAGCTTGCTGGGTGAGACCTGTGTTTCTGGCTTCCAGCCAGAACTTAACATGGAGCAAAAATGCTCCAAATGTCAGATGCTTATAGGAAGTGTGGAGGATAAACTTTGTTCCTCTTGCTCTCAGAGTGAGTACGATCTAGCTTCTGTTTCTTCCCTGTGTAAATCCTACTTGCCTGACGGACACATGTC